CCCTGTACACTTCTTTGAACTTATAAATCTCATTATTTGATAGGACTGGATCACACTGAAAGGCCTGAGTATTCTCTTTCCTAGAGAGAAAAAAGACACAGAGCCCCTTATGTGAGTCAAAATGTTGATGAGAAACAAACTGAAAGTGGCAAATGTAGGCAGAAAAACAGACAAGTTATGATTCAGAAAACAGCAATTTTGGCATAAATATCTGAGAGTCACTGTGGGCCCCAGCTGAATCTGAGCATGCAGGATAGCAATGGGAACACAAAGCCATATTCGGATGGGCTGATGAGAACATGACAGAAAAATCTGTGGAAGTTGCAGCCCTGAAGACTGGTTTTTGTCTCTACGCTACACAGCCCCAGACAGTCATGTCTTTCATTGCCTGGAAAGGTCTCTGTGGTTTGCATTTCTGCCTTTAAAATGATCAGCACGGTTCAGAAGGCAAATACTTATTAAAGGTATCCTGAAAACATGGAAGAGGGGCCGTTTTTTTCTTTCTGCATTACGTTAGGCTTTCAAACACAGGACCCCCAATTTAGCAGCAAATGTTTAATTGATCCCACCCCACTCAGGTTAGAGGGGGTAGTAAAAAGAAATAGTTTTCCTTCTTTATTTCTGTCCTGGAATAAAATAGCAGGTGGCCTAGTAGAGCTGAGGACTCCCAATTTGCTAGATGACTCTCAAGATCAGAAAATGAGAAAATTAAGGACGAAGTGAAGATTGATGTTGTGTGAGCGGGAGTGGTCAGTGAGCCCTTCTGCATTTTATACCATTGCTTTTAGGACAAGGATGTCAACCAGTATCAACATAGGCTGTCCTTGCAGATAGCCTGATAGGGATCTTCTGGAGTGCTGTGTTGAGGACATGAGCCTTGTCCCAGGTCGGCGGGAAAGAATGCTGGGCCCGGTGAGTGAGAGCCACAGGCACAGCTATCTCCTGCTCCTAGTCTGTTTGTTTCAAACTACCTTAGAGATCTCTGAGACACAGAAGGGTGACAGATGATCCCCACTCCCCATGACACACACACTCCCTCCCCACATATCACAAGCTGGGGAAGCAACCACTTAGAGCTTTGGGAAAAGGTTGACAAGGACGAGTGCTTTCAGCTGAGGAAAACGTTTGTTCTGTCATGGAAGATTCCCAGTGCCTCTGAGAAGTTCCCAATGACCTGGCTGATCAGGGTCTACAAATCACCAAGCGACTTCTCATTTGGACTGTGGACCGTCTTCTCATTTGGACCGTCTTCTTGGCAGGGGGAGCTCACCACCCCCCAGGAAGGTGAATCCGTTGAAATGCTCGCTTTGTTTGGTGTCCTTTCCAAGACATAACGCTCCTTTGGACAAGTTCCTGCTGAATATAATGTACCTGTCAGAGGACTTGAACAATCACAGGAAATTATCCAAAGCTAGTTAGGTAAGAAGGTGGCCCAAAAGGAAACCATAGATAAAACAGCTTCCTGACTTAAACCACGAGAAGGAAGCAGCAAGGTAGCAAAGATGCAGAGAGCCGGGCCAGGCCAGGGGAGCTGGAAGTGGGCTCAGAGGAGGGGGGCCTGGCTGGCTCCCTCTCCACCCTCACAGGCAGCTGGGGAGGGGGGCAGTGGCCGCCAGGCCTCTTCCCAGCACTTCTCAACTGCATGTTCTTCTGAGTACAAGGGATGCCATCATTAGGAAGAGTGGGCGTTGGAAGAAATAGCAAAAGGTTTTTGTGTGTACGTTGATTTGAAATTAATTAAATTGGTATCCTCTTCATCCTCTGTTGGCCCAGCAGGCTCCCTCCGGGCTGCTTCTCTTGGAAAACATCAGCACCATTCAGTTTTAGGATTCATTATCACTGTAAAAACACAAAACAAAACAGAATGAGAGCATATTTCCAAGAAGCGGTGCAGAGTGGGTCACTCCCTAATGGAGGTGACCTAAGAGAATATAAACTGTCGGGAAGGCAGCAGTGTCTAGCATGTGAGTTCCCAGACAGAGGTCAGTTTGGATTTTATATTTGATCCCTGAGGAGGAAATTCATGAAAGCCAAGAAATAATTCCTAGCTCTCACTCCAGTATCCGTCCCCCCCTCCCGGCGCTGATGTGGAAAGAGCCAGATGGAGTCGGGGTTCCCCCCTTTAATTAAATCTAATCCCATTCTCTATGAATATATGCCAAATTGTCTTTCCTTAAAAAAAAAAAAATGAATGTTTTCCATGTGTTGTTTTCCCTCAAGAGCTTGTGGTCCTGGCATGTTTTCAATCGTCTGTTCTGTTCATACCTATGAAGGGTCCAGAGGTGCCTTCTCAACGTCATTTAGAATTCAGGCATCTTGGGGTGTGAGTGGCCATGAATTATGGACATGGTATTTGAACACGACCATGCTGTTGGCTAATTGGTGCTTTTGCTTCTAACTGGACTGTCTCTGCCAAATATCTGGCTTCCCCGTTTTTCCCCAGGGGGGCCCATCCCTCCTCCAAGTCTCCTGGAGAGCCGGCTGCACTTCTTCTCCCTTCTCATTTTAGTTTTGTGCTCCTTCCCTTAGATTCTAGAAGGTCTCTGTCTGGAGTGACCTCAGTCTCCAAGGAAGTGCTTGAATGATAATGATCAACACATCTGGTATCTCCTTAGCGCCTAGGGACATATAGTCTGCAATAGACCACATTCTTCGGACTGCTGCTTCAGTGCTCTCCTGCTCAGCAAAACTCCATTTCTTTTTGAAGCAGATTTGGCAACAACTCAGACAAATAGATAGGTAGACAGGCAGATAGATAGATAGATAGAATTGATAGACAGGTAGATAGGCAGATAGATAGATATAGATAGACAGGTAGACAGGTAGATTGATGATTGATCAGTCAGTCTGTTGGTCGGTAGATCTATCCATCAGAGGGCAGGGGACACTCTGCGTGCACGTGCATCTGTGGTGTTTTTGTCTGGATTGCGAAGATAAGGGAACAAGCTATGATGGAGGAGTAGAATTTTATCTGCGCAAGGATGTGAACAAAAGGATAAACTATATCTAAACTTACTTAAAATGAAAGCCTGGTTGAAAATTAAGATTTTTTTTTTTTATCTGAAGAGTAGATGTAACAACTCCTTTCATTTATACCACCCTGAATAGCTCTTAAACTGGCCAAAAGGATTCATTTCCTGGAAATGGGGTGGCAGCAAGACAGTATTTTGAAGATTCAGGAGTCCATCTCTATAGAACCTAAGTCTCCAAGTCCCACGTCTTCCTTCAGAGGCTTTGTCTTGAAATTTCAGCCCCACTAAGCAGAGTTTAACACAAAGCTGAAGAGGTAGGGCAAAGATCTTTTGTCTACAAGGCTGATCTTTGCCCAGCTGTTCTAACTGAAGTAATTTTTAAAGTTGATTAATATAGGCCAGGCACGGTGGCTCATGCCTATAATCCTAGCACTCTGGGAGGCTGAAGCGTGTGGATTTCCTGAGCTCATGAGTTCAAGATCAGCCTGAGCAAGAGTGAGACCTCATCTCAAAAAAAAATAGACAGGTGTTGTGGTGGGCGCCTGTAGTCCCAGCCACTTGGGAGGCTGAGGCTGAGAGAATCACTTAAGCCCAAGAGTTTGAGGTTGCTGTGAGCTGTGACACCACTACACTTTACTGAGGGTGACAAGTGAGATACTGTCTCAACAACAAAAAATAGGCTCGGCGCCTGTGGCTCAAGTGGCTAAGGCGCCAGCCACATATACCTAAGGTGGTGGGTTCAAATCCAGCCCGGGCCCACCAAAACAACAATGACAGCTGCAACCAAAAAAATAGCCAGGTGCTGTGGTGGGTGCCTGTGGTCCCAGCTACTTGGGAGGCTGAGGCAGGAGACTCACTGAAGCCCAGGAGTTGGAGGTTGCTGTGAGCTGTGATGGCACAGCACTCTACCTAGGGGGACAGCTTGAGGCTCTGTCTCAAAATAAATAAATAAATAAATAAAGTTGATTAATAAAAAAACAGTCTGTGTTAATTAATTTAAAAAAATAGAAAACACAAATAAGCAAATACCAATCATCTCTCTAGGTTAACATTTTGGTATTTATTCTCCCAATGTTTTTTCTGTGATGATGCTATATATTCTTTTTGTACAAAAATGGGATTGTAATATGTATGCTATTCTGTAATCTGCTTTTCTCACTCTCA